CAGAACTGGAAGACGATTCGCCACCCGTTTATCGTCAAGTACTACGACTGCGGCCTCTTTCGGGGCCGTAAGTGTGTGGTCACCGAATGGGTCACTCCTATCACACCACTGGTCGACCGCATGAACAAAGAGATGATCGCCAGCGGTGTCCACAATATCATCAACAGTTTGGCGTTCATTCACAGCACGTGTCGATTGTCTGTCAATAATCTCAATTTGGACTCAATATTCGTGAGCCGTTCGGAGAGGACTGAGTCCTGGAAATTGGGTTCACTTTTGTGTCTCAGTTCCACCCAATCGGAGGACAGAGACTTCTGTCAACGGCTGTGGAGTTATCACCACTTCTTAGGAACGACCGACACATTGCCCGCCGAAGACATTGCGTCCGAACCGCAAATCCAATGCATCAAAAGTGAGGACCAAATACATCGGAGGGATGCCTACGCTTTGGGACTACTATTGCATCGACTGCTACCAGAGCTGCCGTCCTCTCAGACCATTGAATGCATGGGAAGTAATAGTCCGGAGAAGAGACCGAATATGAGACGCGTTTTGGACGAGGATTTGTTTGTGAACTCAGAGTTCGTTAAAATGAAGTCATTTCTGACGTGTTTTGTATCCTTTACTGAGAGCCAGAAGAATGAATTCTTCACTGATTTTGTCGACAGAATGAGACAATTGTCGGATGAGTTAACCTTCAGCTTAATCTCACTTATAGTCAATTCTCGTCTAATTATGTCCAACACTGCAGTTCACGACCAGTTGTTGCCATTTATGTTGATTCCGGCCAACGATTCCAACGAAGAGATGCAATACGTGTTGACTTGTGGTGAGACGATTACTTTGAGGCCATTAATGAATAAAAAGGTTTTCAAGACACGAATGATTCCTCTCATATGTAAACTCTATTGTATCAGAGATTTGAGAATTCGTTCATTACTTTTGCAATATTTGCCAAATTATGCCTCATTTATATCCAACCCGTGTTTACGTCAATTAGTTTTACCCCAAATACTGATTGCTATGAAGGACTCCAACGACGAGTTGGTTTCCCTTACATTCAAAGCCATTTCGCACTTAATAACCATTTTTGGAGCAAATGTTGTTTTGGGTCCAAGACTTAAGCTCTTCACTAATGGTATTCCTAAACATAATTACGCTAACAATGAAGGCTCGGAAGTGGAATCGCTGGTCGGTTCCGATACTCCCGAGTCATTAATTGTTGATAAAATTGATGTCAAAATTATTGCTCAAAATGGTTGGTCAGAGACCGACGGCTTGAGTGAGAGTAACGGGAAGACAAGTATTAGTGTCGAGACATTGGAGACACAGTCTGACAACAAGACTGATATGAATAAAGAAGTGGAAAAGCAATCAAATGGAGTGAAAGTGAAAACGATTGCCAAAAAGGATATTCCTTTAATTCGAAACGATTTCGATATAAAGGAATTGGATTTTAAGGTCGAAAACAATGAAATCGATGATTTGTTTTCAGATATGGAACCGGTTTTTAAATTCGGGAAAAAGCATTTAATTGCTGATCAGTTGATGGGTTTAACGGGCAATAAAAGTACTTCCGGTTTATTCGCAGCCAATGAAGAGTTGAGTGGAGAGATGGGTTGGACTGACGAGGGATGGGATAATGATTGGGATAAAGAGGATAAATGATAACCTTTTTTATTTATTTAGTATTTAAGTATAATTTTATATAATTAACAATGTATTTAAGAAATTATTATATATTTTATTGGACTGACGAGGGATGGGATAATGATTGGGATAAAGAGGATAAATGATAACCATTTTTATTTATTTAGTATTTAAGTATAATTTTATATAATTAACAATGTATTTAAGAAATTATTATATATTTTATTATATTGTTTATAATCAGATAATTTACTGCAATATTTCTTTTTTTCAAATGATAATAAATATTTGGTTTCTGAATAAGAATTCACATTTTCAATGATGTGTTTGTTTTGACATTAATTTATTTGTAATGAATTTTAGAAAAAGTAATTTTATTTTTTGTTATACAAAATAATAAAAACTTGTCGATAAATATTGAACAATAAATATGTGATAAAAAAGCATAAGAAACAGAATTTATATTTATTTCAAACAAATTACTGTATTTTACTATTAAAGAGGTTCAAGTTTTTGTCCATTTCTCCCTTCCATGTCTTCGGTCTGTAGTGTTGTGTCCATAACTTGTCGACCATCTGATCGTCCGGATCTGGTTCTTCTCTCTCTGTCTTTGTCACCAAAACTGATGGCAACTTCTCAGCGCTTTTCTTCTTCCGACAACAACCACAACAGCATATATTACACAAAAGTTTTTGAAATTTATTTTGCTAGTCTTTCATTTGATCCCATTCTTTGTCTCCCAATTGTCTTTCGTGTCTTAATTTATTGACGGCTTTATCGGAGGCGCGCAAAGACTTTCCCTGTTGTTTGAGTTCATCGTAAGCGTCCGATTGTCGTTCTTTTGCGCTCCGAGTCGTCTCTAATATCCGTTTCTTAATCTCCTGTTGTTTCCTCTTATTGTCATTTATATCGGAAAGGTTTTCATTAACTGTTTTATCCATTTCTTAAATAAAACTCAATTTTCAATAAATATATGAAAAGTGTTCAGAACTTTAATGTATAGAAACTTACAAAAACAAACCATATTTATTTCAGTTCAATTTAATTTGCAAATCTTATAAACTTTACTCTAATTGATATGAACTGAGACAACGGATTCTTGTATTATTTTGTACATAAAATCACTGAATATCTGTAAAAACTTTGCTTTATTTTCTTCTATTCTAATGCAAACATAAATACAACTGAATTTAATAATAAAAAATTTTATAAAACAATTTCTCGAGAAAACGATTGAATGAAATGTTTAGACATTAAGTTTCTGTAGTTGAGGCCAAACGACTCCTTCCGGACAACTCATAAATGCTCTTCTTTTTGGCCGCATCTATTGGACTGACGAGGGATGGGATAATGATTGGGATAAAGAGGATAAATGATAACCTTTTTTATTTATTTAGTATTTAAGTATAATTTTATATAATTAACAATGTATTTAAGAAATTATTATATATTTTTATTATATTGTTTATAATCAGATAATTTACTGCAATATTTCTTTCCTTTCAAATGATATTTGGTTTCTGAATAAGAATTCACATTTTCAATGATGTGTTTGTTTTGACATTAATTTATTTATAATGAATTTTAGAAAAAGTAATTTTATTTTTTGTTATACAAAATAATAAAAACTTGTCGATAAATATTGAACAATAAATATGTGATAAAAAAGCATAAGAAACAGAATTTATTTCAAACAAATTACTGTATTTGGTGTGTATTTTACTATTAAAGAGGTTCAAGTTTTTGTCCATCTCTTCCTTCCATGTCTTCGGTCTGTAGTGTTGTGTCCATAACTTGTCGACCGTCTGATCGTCCGGATCTGGTTCTTCACTCTCTGTCGTTGTCACCAAAACTGATGGCAACTTCTCAGCGCTTTTCTTCTTCCGACAACAACCACAACAGCATATATTACACAAAAGTCTTTGACATATATTTTGCTAGTCTTTCATTTGATCCAATTCTTTGTCTCCCAATTGTCTTTCGTGTCTTAATTTATTGACGGCTTTATCGGAGGCGCGCAAAGACTTTCCCTGTTGTTTGAGTTCATTGTAAGCGTCCGATTGTCGCTCTTTTGCGCTCCGAGTCGTCTCTAATATCCGTTTCTTAATCTCCTGTTGTTTCCTCTTATTGTCATTTATATCGGAGACGTTTTCATTAACTGTTTTATCCATTTCTTAAATAAAACTCAATTTTCAATAAATATATGAAAAGTGTTCAGAACTTTAATGTATAGAAATAGAAATTGTATAAAAATTTACAAAAACAAACCATATTTATTTCAGTTCAATTTAATTTGCAAATCTTATAAACTTTACAGTAATTGATATGAACTGAGACAACGGATTCTGGTATTATTTTGTACATAAAATCACTGAATATCTGTAAAAACTTTGCTTTATTTTCTTCTATTCTAATGCAAACATAAATACAACTGAATTTAATAATAAAAAATATTTGAATTAAAAATTTTATAAAACAATTTCTCGAGAAAACGATTGAATGAAATGTTTAGACATTAAGTTTCTGTAGTTGAGGCCAAACGACTCCTTCCGGACAACTCATAAATGCTCTTCTTTTTGGCCGCATCTCTGGTTTCCATTGCTGTCGATAAAGCCATTTCTTGGAAGAGATCCGCATAAATGTCTGGTATCTCTTTGTTTTCGCCTTTAATTGTTATAAATGTCATTTTAACGGAAGTTTTTCCTAAAATTTTTCTCTCAAATTCTATGAGTGATTTGAAGAAACCGGGGTTTGGTTGACACAACTCTCGACACTTATTACAATAAATGAACGCCTCTTTTAAAGTCATTTTCTGATATTTCACTAAATAAGCTGTCATTTGGTTTGAATCGAGTTATAAATGCAAATGCAATTAATTAAAGGGCTATTAATAAACAAATTGTTTTTATAAAACATACCCAAAACCAGAGAAGTGGAGCGACTCTTTCCGGCCACACAATGGACTATAGCTCTCCGATTCTTAGACACCACTTCATTCAGTTTGTCCGCCACTTCTTCCAAATAGAGAGAAATGTCGTCTTCGGGCGTGTCGTCGATCTATTAAAACACATATTTTTTTAATAATTTCAAATCAATACAAAAAATGCTTATTAATTGCGAGTAATTAATGTAATTATAGAGTATATACGGGAACTCTAATGCATTCGAGCCCTTTAACGTCATAATTGGGCACTTCATACGTGGCGTTAATAATGCATGAGATCTTGAGGCTCACTATATTCTCGCGTATCATACCTCCAGCGCCCGTCAAATATACATTGTCTGTGATCTTATCGACCACACTATACGGCGGCGAAAAAATCTCTACAACACCCTCTGGACTCTTGGCTTTAGCCATATCCTGTTGCGCTCTAGTCGTCAACTTCTTCACTGTCTGTATAGTGATGTCCGAGCGATGAAACGCTGTTTTAGTCATTTTAGACGCTTTGTACAGATTTGGATACTTCTTGCGATCAATTTTGCTGTCACTACAACAGTCACTACAACTGCCACCACAACAACTACTACAACAGCCCATCACTAATAGCCAATTGTCTGCTAATTGAAGTCAATTGAAAGATTGCACACAATATACAAATACAACCCTTTTCTATATGTAATACACTTGTTATTCGACTTAACGCTATAATCACGGCTTATGCACGCCGTCAGCAAAGAGTTAATAGTTTCAATTTAACAATTGTCTGAATATAACGTATAATTTAAATTTAGTGCAATAATTAGTTGTAATGCATAATGCAATTTAAATTAATAATGAAATTAATATCGAGACCAAATTTTAGTTTTTACTTTTTACTATTATTTTGAATAAATGCAACCATGATCATTTTTAACACACTTCACGCGCTAATGTAGTCAATACAGAATATTTGCAATACAGACAACGATTCGTGTATTAGTTGTCCAAACATTTCATACTTTGTTTTAATTTGAATTAAAACTAGTATTGAATGCATTGAGAAATAGTCGAACAAAACTACTGTTATTTTGAATGCATTAAACGTTTAGAATTAATATTTCATTTCTAAACAGTAGTGAATCTCAGTCTCTAAGCAATTGTTGTATTGATTTCGTGTTTTAACAGTAAATTTAATTGAATTTGAATTTGTTTAACGGTTTGTAAACAAAAACACAATTTTGTCACAAAACAAATCCAATTGATTGACGATATGCTTGAATGGTATGGTTTGGTCGCCGGAGTGTTGGTATGGGTTCTCGTGTTTCTCGTCGTCTTCTATAAAGTGCTCGAAGACTGCATTTATCGACGAAAAGCCGCCCAAAAGATAAACGACGACAAAAAGTTGTTAAATAAATATCTATTGAGTGTTGTGTTAAGCCATTCAATGGACAACTTTCAGATGAGAGGCAATGCAATCAAAATACTATTATTTGATTTGAACGACAAATCCGTGGAGTTTACCATTCAGTTGAATAACCCGGAGATTAGAACCGATGTCTGCGGCAAACAATACATCCGTTTATTCCTTACTCTCACGTCTGACAAGAATTGGCCCTTAATNGATATCTGCGGCAAACAATACATCCGTTTATTCCTTACTCTCACGTCTGACAAGAATTGGCCCTTAATTTTCACCAAATTGTCTGCCGTTCACAACAGCACTGGTATTCAATACTTGTTTTATATCTAGTTTTTGATTACTATAAAAATGTGTCACTTTTAGGGGTTATATTCATGGATGGCATTGAAATAGAGGACGAGTGGACGGGAAGGCGACTGTATTTCCCGATCCGAGAGTACATGAAAGGAAGAGATGAACTGAAAGACGCCAAAGAGATATCAGTGAAACGCCAACAGTTGAGACTCTTCTCGAAGCAAACTCTGTGTCCAAACTTCGAGAACCCATTAATACAAGAGACGGGAGAAGAAGTGACTGATTCTGGAAAGCGTGTGAATGCGGTCGCCATTAAATCGAGACTTGATTTGTTTGAAGTGTCGCTGTTTTACGCACTTCTATTTAATTTGACATTTTTTGCCAACTATTTGATGGTATTCTTAGGCGTGAATTCAAAGCCCGATTCAATTCTACAATATATCACATATTTTGGAGGTCTGGCTGCGACTGGTTTGTTGTCTTTCGTCATAACGGATACCATTGCTTACGTTTACGTCCGTTATATCAAAACATATCGCAAACCGAAAACCAAACCACCGGTTAATACGGACTGTTTCTGGGCTTTCGTGCGAGTCTTGTATCTGATGTCTGTCTTCGTTGTGGCCATCATTTCATCGATTGGCACACAATTACTGTTTGCATTTAA